TGGAAATCAGGAGCTTACAAATGTCACTTTAAGAGGTCTTCACTTCCATGCCATCAGAGTGAAGCAGTGCACAATGATGCAAAATAGAGATTTTTCCAACACTTACACCTCCGAAAGATATTTACTTTAAATAAGCGACAAGTATGATCCATTTGGTTTAAATATCCTGAGCTTTTCCCAGCTACCAGACCACTCAAGTGCACAGAAGATGAAATAATTGGTAGAATTTTTAATGTTTCTTTGTTTCTTGTGTGACCATTTTGTACAAGTCAAAGGGATATGCCAACAATACCACAGCCTGCGTCACACTTGTTACTAATATGACTGCCAATTAATCCTGACATGGAAGCTTGGCGGGTTACCCAAAACCTGGTATTTTATCACCTCGGGGAGTCAGCACTTGGACATTTCTATGACATTTTAGACTAATCAATCAACTTTCCTTTTTTAAAGCTGAGCCTTTCATAGCAAGCGTAGATGAGTCCTATATGCCCCACACCCAAGGCCACCCATTTCCTCAAACAGAATTGTGTTTGGTTTATTGATAATTACACTTCGAAGCTGACTTCTGAAAATGTTTATTCTTACTTCTTCCTTTCCAAGCGGGAAATCTATCACAAATGTTAAGACAGAAACTCAAGTCCCTGAGAGTTTTCTCATATTATTGTATATTTTAAAATATTACAAGAGGGTGCTTCTCAAGGGAAGTGAACTTTAGAGCTGCCAAAGATAGTTGACTTTCTCCAAATCTGTTACCAATGGATCCGAAGCTGGTTTAAGTCAGTTCTATTCTGAGTAATGACACATGCGGCTGGGACAAACGCCATTCTAAGATATTTCTAGGACCCCCTGGCAAATGGTAATTTATCTGGAGACAGCCAGGCAGGCAAAGGAAGGACAGATGGGAAGAATGAGTCTCCTGGGAGCCCTACGCCGAAGCAAGAGTCCTAAATCAGCACCAGAGACCACGTTCTCACAGGCTAAGGCCCATCTCTCATCACTCACTCAACCCCCCGATCCTCTGGCCTCCAAGGATTCTTTCAACCATTCTTTACAGAGGTCATCCTAAAGAGATGATCAAGCTGCAAAGAGTTCTGTGGGCAAACTTTCAGTCCTTCTCCTATGCCCTGTCTCCTGGAACTGTGGCATGAAGTAACCCAGCCTAAAGTCTGAGCTTTGTGTTTTCCCATCATTCAAATCGCTGCCTTCAAGGAACAAGTGGAGTATACAGCGTCTGAGAACCAGCTTCTCCTTTCCTCCTTTTCTATTCTTTTCTACTTCCAGCTTTACAAGGTACAACTGACAAATAAAAATTGTATATGCTTAAGGTGTACAACATGATGTTTTGATATATGCATACACTGTGAAAGGTTGGCCACAATCAAGCTAATTAACCTATTATCCATCACCTCACATAGTTACTGTTTTTTAGGGGGTGAGAATAATTAAGATCTACTCTCTTGGCAAATTTCAAGTATACAATATAGTATTGTTAACTATGGTCACCATGCTGTATATTAGATCTTCAGATCTTATTCAACCTGCATATCCGAAACTTTGCACCCTTTGACCAACATCTCTCCATTTCCCTCATGCCCTAGTTTCCGGTGACCACCATTCTACTCTTTGCTTCCAAGAGCTTGACCTTTTAAGATTCCACATATAAATAAGATCATGAACCTAGAGGACATTATGTAAGAGAAATAAGCCAGACACAGAAAGAAAAATACTGCATGACCTCCTTTTCTATTTTTTACTTCATCCTCTCTGTCCATTCTTAATTCAAAGAAAGAGCCCAAGTTGTCCAAGGTCATGGAACAAGGCAAAAGTAGACTGGCCTCAGAGCCAGAAATTCCAGCCCTGCCAGGGAGTTGCTGTGTGATCTCAGTTAAGTCATTTGCCTCTCCCTGCCTCAGGTGCCTCATTTGTAAAAGGGAAGGACGCCTCTGCCATACCTGATTCATGGGCTACTGTGAGGTGTAACGGGCACAAAGCATGCGAAGTGTTTTGAAAAGTAAAATATACCATACGCCTGTTAGTGCAAACTCACACCAATGTTCCCAAGCAAGCAAGGCACAACACCACCATCCATCTGTTGCAAAGAGACCAAGTGGCCAACTGACTTGGGATCAGGCATCAAATGAGACATTTTCAAAGCACCATTCTGGAGCGTTCACCAAGCACTGAAGCATTACCCCCATTCAGTCCTCTCAACTCTAGCAGCTGGACCATCCTTGTGTTTTGTAGATGTGGAAGCTGAGGCTTGGACAGGACAAGTTGCTGGTGAAGACGAGAGTCATGTCTGAACACATGCTGGGCTGCAGAGTCCACACCCTTGTCTCCTGCCTCATGTGTGCAAAAATGGGCTCAAGCAGGTAGTCATCTTAGGAGGAAAGGTGAGGTTTTGTGGAACCCTTAAGGGCTCCCTGGAAATGAAATGCTGTTTAGCTCCAAGATATGTGGATTCTGTGTCACAGCGAAGAGAGGTGGGGTTGCCCCCTCGTTCCTTGGTAGTCCCACACCTCCATTTCTCCCTCTGCTGAGAAGTTAAATGGCAGCCCTGAGATAAACACCATCCTTTAGTTTTACTTTGCCCCTGTATTTATGAAGCAGAGTTCCTATCACTAATACAGGGGAAGGAATGGCGCTGTTTCATGGGAAGAGAGCTCATGGGTCCCCTGATGTTGCCAGGGAACCCTACAGCAGCGGTACAGAGTCCTCCTTGCAGGGAGGGGTGGTTGGGCAGGTCTGTGTTGGAGGCAAAATACTGTGTGGCCAAGGTGCATGCACTGCATCACAGGAAGCCAAAGTCAGGTGCTGTGATGTGGGGGCGGGGGGCAGGGAGGTGGGGAGAACACCCCCTTATGGCTGACAGACTCCTCTCTCATGGGGGAAACTAATTTCATGGAGTTTCCAGTGATGACTACTCTTCTGAGACGTCATCTATCACCTTAGTCTGACCTTCCAAAGATGTGGACAAGCTGCATCTTCCCCCTATTTGTAAATTCCCTGAGAACAACAATCATTTTTGAATCCCATCTCCATGAACTTTCCAAAACACAGAAGGGGCTTCATAAACAGGATGAACACTGCCTCTGCAGTCATGCTCGCTGCAATGAGACACGTGCAGAGAAGAATCTGGTTTTACTGCAGCCCTGTTGCTTCTTCTACTGGTCAGGAACCACCTCGGGCCCACTGTTACAACCTTATGATAACAAGGTCTTATCCCTCATCTGGCTACGTGTCTTTACTGATGCTAGAATCTGCGTGGACCCAACAAGAGCAGAAGGCTGACCTAGGAGGAAGCAGGATGCTGAGCACTGACCAGAGATAAAGAAGAGACCCTGTTTCTTCGCTGCTAAGTCTGGCTCTAAACCCACCCCTAACCAGCTGGGGGACTTTGTACAAGTCACTTCCCCTCCCTGAACCTCAGGGCTCTGCGGTAGGGTGTAGCAGTTAAATGCTATAGTATTCCCCAAGCCTCCTCTGAGTTCCAGCATCTTCTGCATAGCGCTTTGGAGATGGGAAGTGCTTTGGAAATGCTTTAGAAGTATGAAGAACATCTGGTTCACCCTAGGCAGTGTGGCTTCCCTACCTGCCTTCTCCTTAGTGTTGTGTGTGTGAGCGTGTCTAACGGTGTGTGTTGGGCAGTGGAGACAACGAAAGACAGAGGACAGACACCAAAGCTCAGATGAATGGCATGTAGGATATCCAGGAGAAAGAGGGGAGACATTAGGGACAAGAAGATAGCAAGCGCATCAGAAGTGGAAAAACTGCCCCAATACTTTCTAAGGAACAAAGTAGGCTGTGAATCAAGCAGATAGTTGGCAAAAGAAGGTTTCTGGTGAGCATTCTGGCGAGGCTGATCCTTGGATGGTGGGGGGAGAGAAGGGATGATGTATTCCAGTGACAAGTGTGAAGTGACATCACGGTTCCTGGCAAACATCCCTTTCCCTAGCATGGCAGGAGGCAGAAGTCACCATGTGGTCACCGCTACCCCCCAAACACAGAAGGAATCATGAAAAGAACATGAGGCTCCTAGATTCCCAGCGCTGGTTCTGTGCCTCACTAGCTCTGCAGGCTCCAGCAAAAGTGCGACTTCGAAGAGCCCCCGTGTCCCCAAACGAAAGAACAAGCTGCTAATACTATAATAACGGCATCTCTCCTGCAGCTGTCAGGAGGATAACATCCAAAGAGGTAAAGTGGGTGAAAATACCTTGTGAACATATTAATATGTAATATCTTGCCAAATAGCTGAATACTCATTACTATAAAAAAATCAATAAAAAGGCAGAATAAACACTCTGCTTTGATTAAAGTCAGGAAGCCGCCATTAGTGTGTCATTGTGGTTCTGGCCTTGGAGAACTGGATTAACCCCAAAGTCTCTTGGCCATTGTCACTGGGTTCAGCCACCTGAGGAGTTTGCAGGGCAGCTCCTCACAGCTCCTCTTGCTGCGGAAGAGCATTTTCTTCTGTTCCTGAAGAATGAACCCATACCAGACTCTACATTTGAGTTAACCCTTCACTAGTAACACTGTGTCTGGTTCACCTTTAGATAGAGTTAAATGCTCCATGTTAAGTTATATGTCAGTGATGTCAACAAACCCAAGAGTTCCTTTCTTTTCAATATGCCGCTTCTAGAAAACACAGAATAAGCACAGTAAATAAATAAATAGCCAACTCAACTCTACCCCTCCACAAGCAGAAAGCTTAAGGATTCACCTGTCCAGCCTCCTCACTTTATCGGTAAAGACACCAAGGCCAGACACAAGGGCCTTAACCAAAGCCACACCCCAAGTAAATGGCAGAATCACTTCCAGAACCCTTCTTTCTCTCCACTCTACGGCACTTCCCAATCTCCATTTATCACGGTTAAAATGCACTTTGAAGATTCAAACCTGAGTAGCATCTGCTATCTACTTCTAAACGCATCTCAGAAAACGAGTCTGTGTTCCCCCGAGAAGTGAGTTCCAACAGGGAGTTCGGCCCCCACCCTTACCTGTAAATTTGCACAAGGTGGTAAAACATGAGTGGGGATTTCATTCTCAGACCCTGCTGGCCCCAGGGGCTTGTTCTTGACCCGGAAGGCTGTGGTGGTGGTGGCAGTGGTGGTCTGAACAGGGAGGGCTGGCTGCCACACTGTCACATCGGAGCCATTGCCAAAGGCTTGAATTGCATTTTCTGCAGTAAAACAGGAGGAAATCCAATTTCAAAGTCAAGCAGCAAATGTAACAGACAGGATACATGAAGCCAGAGAGGCTCACTAGGAATTCTGATTGCAGCACTGGACTTCTCTGAACAAAACCCATCCATCCATCCACCCTACATGAGCTGAGAGCTGGCCATTGGCTCAAAAATCAATTCATTCATTAGACACTGAGCTGGACACTTAGCTATGCTCCAAGTGCAACAAATATTTATTGCGCTCATATTTATGTTGCAGGTGGTAAGCAAGATTCTTGCCCTAAAATACTCATCAGTTGAGCCCTCTGAAACCCAGCCTTGGACCTGTTATTTGGGATCATAGTCACTGTCCCATCTTCCAAGAAAATCCTTGTGCTCTATCAAGATTCTATACAAAAAGCAAACTAACTAATGCTTTTTTTTTAAAGGACAACATTCTTAATTATGAGACTGAGGCGACTTGATGGCATTCACACTAATTTAACAGGCAGTAAAATGAAACAGCAAAAAACGTGATTCACTACCACAAGCACCTACTATGAGCCAGGCATTGTTCAAAGCAAAATACAACCAGTTTCTTTAAGAGAAAAATCTACCCCAAACCTCATCAATATATAGTGAAAATTTAAGTAAGATTATTTTTTTCCCTTTCTGCTCCCAGTCTTCCAAACAAAATCTACATAATTAGGTAGGAGCAGCCTTGCTTAAATGAAAAGTTTAAAACGTAAAACTTTAAAAGCTTATTACAATTTCATGGGATTAGATTGTTTTTATGGCAAGAGTAAATTGGTTGTGTGTTGTTCCCCTCCCCCAAATGAATAAAAAACAGTTTTTAATCAGGTCTTCAGGGATTTGGTCTGGATTTAGGAATTTTTTATTTCATATTCATTGTATAAGAAATCAAACTCCTCCATTTGGGACCTGAATGTGCAAATTGTTAATATATGTCTCTTAGCTGGCATTTTTCGATACACAAGACAGAATAATTTAAGCCTAATCTTCCTCTTAGAAGTGACATTTTGTTCTAAAGTTGTTATCCTTTAAGTTCAGCAAATTGGAAGCTTGTTTTCTAGAACTTTACACCTTTTAGGCTGTGAGAAACAGCTTCAAATTAATATAAATGCTTTTTATGCTCCTAGCCATATTACATGGTTTAATGGGTGGGTGGCATATAAAGAAAGAGGCACATGAGGGACTGGTTTCCTTGAATGACCCAGAACAACAACAACAAATAAAATCTTCCCTTTTCTCGTTAAGACATGTAGATTCAGGAGGCCCTTGCCATTGACTGAAACTACTTGCGCTTTCCCGCGAGTTTGCTTTGCCACTTGGGGAGTCTGTTCACTTGCTCATTCATTCATTCAAATGTCAATGGAACATCCAGTAAGTGCCAAGCACTGCTCTGTGCTGGGGATGCAGCAGTGAAGAGCAATGACAGCAAAAACAGACAAAAGTCCCTGACCTCACAGAGGTCACATTCTACTTGGAGAGACAAAGAAGTAGAAGATACAACACATTAGGCGGTGAGAAATGCTTGGAGAAAAATGAAGCAGAGGTGGGGTACAGAGGGCACTGGGGTGGGAGTAGGGAGCTGCAGTTTAGATGAAGTGGTCCAGGGAGGCGAAGGTGGCATTCTGAACAAAGACTTGAGTGACAGTAACTGATATCTCACCTCGATCTCTACCTCCTCCTTCTCTTTTCCCCTCACGTCTGCCACGCTCTTGGCTTAAAAACAACTGTTTCCTCCCCAATAACCAGAAGTAACCAACAGGTGGAAGCTGTGTTCATGATTGAGGAATCTGGGAGATGTTTTTGTTAATCTAAAGGGAGCAGAATTAGGTTACTGCATTTGGGTTGGAATCTACAAATTCCAATTCCTTCTATTCTAGGGCGTTCTGCAAGAGACTGAAGCTACAGCCCTGTGTCTTTGGTATGCTGTGCCTCTTCTAATCAAAGTATAAATGGAATGACTCTGAAAAATTCTGGCTGGCTGTAGTCCCTGTTGAAGATCAAATGTACTTATTTTTATTGAACAGTCATTAGCAATAAGATACCAGACTATTCTCCCTTCACGAAAATATTATTAAGCAGGGACAACTTTAATTTCTCTGTGAGGGAGTGGTTTTCCAGCCAGCATGATGAGTATAATCTTTTTTCATACTGATCTCTATTGTCATTGCTTTATCTTCATTAAAACATGTATTCTGCCAGAAGAGCATGCAGGATGTGAAAAAGAATATATATATAATTATTATTTTTTTAAGTCAAGACCAAACAAGAGGTCCAACGTGTAGTTCCATGGTATGCCCAATGTCTTAGCAAATGTCTCTATACTTGAGACTAGCTTTGCGGGCTTGAATTTCAAGTGTCCAAAAGCATCTTTTAGTTTTAAGATGATCAAAGCATGTAGTTATAGCCACATTACTCAAGTACCTAGTGAGCAAATCACTCAGATTTGTCTTTTCAACAAAGGAAACAATTAAGAGGTTTTTGAAGAAACACTTAAAAGCATTTCATGTGCACATGGTAAGTTGCTAGCTAATTCTTCAAGAAATCAGTTACCATACAGCAGAGTATCATGGAGAAATTGTCACTTGAGGACATGGCTCTCAGAGGAGTGGCTGAACCTTGGTTCCTAGAAATGTGGTCCACGCCTCTCACCAGGAAGTCACACCTGGTCCCTGATGTCCAGGCATATGTTCTTGTCCAGTGGGCCTGTCAGTATCAGGCATGACCCAAAAGCCCTCCGGGATGGGGGGCTGCAGAAGAAGGAACTCAGGCTTTGGATCCCATCTCTGGCATAGGTGGGCCATGTGAACACCAGCCATTCACTCAACTGTGAAATGGAGATAACACAAAACTTACATGTCCTAGGATTCTTGTGCAGATTACAGTAAACAAGATAATGTATATACTACACTCCCTACAGAGTTTGTTTGCACACATAGAAGGCACCAAACAAATTAATGGTGGCTGTCACAAAATGTTAGTGAGGTACTCAAGCATCTCAGCTGGACCGTCACCTCAAGCGTGCATGTCTCAGTGGATAGAAGGGAGACCTAGCATGGTGCTTTTGGAGTTCTTCTGATAAATGTCATTGCTCACATCAGTACATTTCTCTCTATCCCTCTCCCTTTGGGAAACAAGTTTCCAAATTGCCTAAAGGACACTGCAATAATAACTGATACTGTTCCCAAGGAGCCCCCACCCTGCCTCTGCCCCAATGCTTTTTTCATCTCCTGAGATAACCAACATCCTGAGGCTCCTGGCTACATCAGCAGCTTATCCCACTCAAGAATTGCTTCTCCTCTGAGCCAACCCTGAACATCCAGGGGGGGTACTGACGTTAACATTCTAATTTTTCTCCGAGAGCCCTTGGAGGCCTACCCCCACCTAATTTGTCTGAGCTTTTCACATTGTATATTCTGCCCAGGTTTTAAGAACCTTTGGAAGAGACTTTGTGCTGGTTGCCAAGATCAAAATTTGATCTGTGGGTAGCAATGTTCTTTCCCACACAATGTACCCTCAGTTATTTGAATCTCTTGCTCTCTCAGGTCCTTGGATTCACAGTCTTGGCAGGGCCCAGTCCATCACTTGCTTTGTTCCTGCTGCATCACCCAGTGTGGCCAAAAGGAGTTGGGTTCACCATCAGTGATCAGGAAAAGAGACACAGAGGGAGATAGAGAAGGCAGACACAAGAAACACAAAGGTAGCGCTTGAGCTTGGAGAGGAAAACGTCTGTGTGTTTCTGATTTTTTTTAAACTCACTAAGACATGTATTGTCCTTGAAGAAATTCAAAAATTTCGAGCACTCTTCCAGGTCATTCCCACTGTTGCTGCAGTCACACCACGGGGCCACGCTGAGGCTACTGGAGTCTATGTAGTTGGGGGTCATGACTGTACCTAAAAGAGTAAAAACAAGGTGTTTTATTCTTGTGTGATGATACAGACTTTTCTATAGCCTAAAAAGAAACAAGTGTTCCTCTGATGGTGGATGCATCATGGATAATTACAAACATTGTGTTTGCTGAGTGGGAAATTATGTTAAGCAGTGCATTTTCTTGGCAATTTATCTTGAGCACATAAAATAATTTACACATTTACTTAAAAAATTATAACAAAACTCCTTGAGCTGCACTTAGGAAATTTTTTTTCTGCACAAATGGTATGGATGTCATGGAGCAGGAAAGAATTAACTTAGAATGCATGAGTTGCCAAATCCCTTGCACTTTCTTGAAAATGTCATTAATCTTCACAAATGGATAGAACTGGTTTTACGTATCTTAAAACTCCTTTTAGGACTTTGAATCCACTTCCCTCAGAAGCAAATGGCTTCTTCAGAGAAACACAGGGAAGCTTAGAAGCAATCCTTATGGGTCACCCCGCATCCTGAATGTATGTAACAAGGCCTCTGCTCACTAGCCTCAACTGATTTAAACTCTTTCAAGCTGTGAAGGAATTGGAAACAAACAGTGGAAATTCTCTAAGCAAATGGCTCCTAGAGTATTTGTCTCAGAAGTCCTCAAAAGTCCTCACAGAAATGCTGGGTGGTCTCTCTGGCGTATATCTCCCTGTATTCATGTTTTCCTGATGAGTTCTGTACTGGCACAAATAAACAACACATTTATACTTAACACAACCCAAATGTCTTCTCTGGGTGGCTCGCACCAGGCAAGGCCTACTCATGCCAAGAAGTCTTCTGTTTTTATATGTTTTTGGAAGTAAGATGTAATAGGTGGTCAGTGATCCACAGGATATATTTGGTTCAGAAACAGAAAAAGAATTTCTTTGTAAGCTCTTCTGGGTCAACAGCACATCCTCTTTGCCCTACATTCCTTACTGACTTGAACTAAATAATATCCTGTTACACCTCAGAATGAGAACTTCACCCCATGGCAGATAGGGAGCTCCCAACTTTGGGCGAGAAAGAAACAGCTACCCCAAACACTTAGTGAAGAGGTTAAAGTATGTCTGCTAAGCACCCACAGTATGCCTGATGCCACAGTGGACCTCCAACACAAGGAAGAAGCAGGAACAAGCTTTGTCCTGAAAGAAGTTAGAACCCAAAGACTAGTGCAGAGGGAGAGATCTGGGCCCAAGAGAGAAATAAATTTTGGTCCACAGAATGCATTGCCTCAACCAGTTATTCCCTTCAGTGATGAGGATTTCATCCCCCTCGGGCACGTAACAGTTTGCCAAGCCAGAAATGCCTGGCAGCACTGCACCTTGGCCACTCCTGGAGGATTTAATGAAGATGTATGCCTAGAAGGATAGGCACTAAGGTGTTAACAGTGAGTACATCTGGCAGAGGAGCTGTAGATCTGGAACACTGTCTCCTTTGTGTTTCTCTGTATTTTTTTAACTTCTTACAAAGAGCATGTCTTAATTACTTCTGTTATTTCTTAAACCTGTAATTCCATAGTCGTTAAGTCATCTCTACTAGGGACTAACTTATTTAAGGAGAGGAGAGACTACATGCAAATTTGGAATACTGACTTAAGGAAGATGCATTCATTTGACATATCCATAAGAATGGTCAATAACTGCTGAAAGGTATTTCCCAAGAGAGCACAGGTATCCTTTCAAAAAACAGTTGGGAGGAGTGTGCAGGCACCTGTAATATCCTTGCCTTAAGTACCGTCATTGATTTTCCCAGTGGTTCTGGCCGAAGACACTCTGGTTACAAGGAAATCAGTCTGTGCCGTCATTCTTGGGGGGAAGTTCTTCCTGCCTGGTGACTTGTGTGATCCTGGCAGGAACTCACACCCTGGCTGAGCCGTCAGCTTCTGACAACCATGATTTCCCTCATCCCTCCACAGCCTTCGCTATGCGTTTGTTCTCAAATGTCAATTGTGACAGAACCCTGCCACCAAGGCCTCTGCAGTCCCTGGTACCTGGAGCACCCACCTCGCCTCCTGCCTGCCCTGTTTATCCATGGGCACAAATGTTCTTCACCTCTGGCTCTCTTCCAACTCACCAGTGCCTTGTTGAATTGCACTGTTCTCCTGAATGCTGACAACCTGGTTCTTCTAAAGCCTGCACACAAGGAGCTGACTTACCAAGAATATTAATGCTGAGAAGGACCCCAGTATTAAGGGGTTTTCTTTCCAACAGGCCGTTTCTGGGAAACAGCCTTTTTGATTTCCCCAGACTGAATGACTTCCACATTCCCTTTCTCCAAAGTCCTCTGATTCAGTTAATTTGGTCTGACTCGCTCCCTCTTCCACACTATGCTTCTCTCCTACTTTTGCTCTGCGCAGTCAGTTCTCCACCGGAGACACTTCACAGGTCTTCACCCTTGCCACCTTCCTGCTCTTTAATAATCCCTGCTTCCTGCCTTTGCCTTTGTGCCTCCATTATCCTCTTTTTCCCTTTTTTTTACAGGCGAGTCGTAAAGGGCCTACTATCAAACCCCTAGTCCAGAGGGTTACTGGGAGGTTTTTACTCTCACAGATAGCAGCGGGCTACAATGGAAAGAGTCTGTGAGTATCTGTAAACCAGACTTTTCTCCCATCCCGCTTCTCCCTGTTCTTACCAATGAGGCCTGAGTAGGCAAGGAGGCAGTCAGCATAGTTTTCCTTTAGACAGCTGCTGACGGACCTTGACTCCGGCTGGCAGTTGGTAAAAAAATCCGCAAGGCGAGATCTGCAATAGGAAGAAAGGGGGGGTGTGCTTTAAAATACCCTAAACCTCCGGACAGACATAACTTTTCTTTATTTCTTTGTGGATATGCCTTTTTCCACCCCCCAAAATATAGAAAACATAAACTCTTAAAATGTTAGCATCCTCTCTTATACAACCCCCCAACCGTCTCCTCCCTCCCCGAGCCCTCGCCCACCTGTGTGTCTGCTCATTTGCAGAGAAGTCTTCAGGGCCTATAACTATAGAAATCTAGATACTTTGAAGTTTCCATTCAATATTTATTTCTGACTAGACTTATTTGCATCTTTAGGAAACACGCTTCTCTACGTACTCACCGGAGATCCACACTGGGAAAATATTTACTTTATACAGAAACATGTCCCTGGCATCCAAATAGGATCCTACAGCCCATCTGCTCTCGTAATTCCTACTGGCTTTAAAAATACGTGTATCTGTCTCGTAAGTCATCTCTCATCCACCAGCCTTGGGGGCAGTGATTTATTCCAGCCAAGTGACACGGAGGAGGAGCTGGCCTTTCTGGAACTGAAGGGAAAGGCAAGAGGGACAGGTGAGGCTCATTTGGCAACGGTTTCACTGTCTTTCACTGGGTGCGGTGGGCCTGTGGTTGGAGCTGGTGCCCGGAGGATCCACTGATCTAAGTGCCGCATCTGTCTGCAGTTTGGGAACTCTCTAGGAGCCAACACAGTACACCCAGAAGCCCTGCGGGGTGGTGAAGCTGCAGAGACCCAGAAGTGGAGAGGGGCTGCAGACATGCTGGTCTGGGGAGAAGGAGGGTTCTTTGTGGCCAACTGGCTGTTTCTCAATCTGAAGAGGATATTGTTGGAGAAATTCTGAATGAAAGCTGGGCCACCTCTGAGGTCATCTCAGCAGACAACAGCTCTGTTTCTATGTGAAGAACACAATGGACTTCAAGAGAATTTAAGTGATCTGGCAATTATGGGAGACAATGGAGGGCTGTCTCAGCTTTCTTCTCTTTAGCTCACCCGAGTTGGCAGCCAGCACACTCAGCGCTGGTTTTTAATTCTTTGCACTCAAGGGACGGTATTTACTTAGCATGCTTTAGGATATAAACAAGCTTGCATTGGTGGGGCAGAGCAAGGTAGGATGTGTGGAGATCACAAAGGTTTGTGAAAGGCCTGGAGGAAGCACAGATGTGTCCCTTTCCTACCACTTTAACTAGAAGGGGATTAAAAGGCCTGATGAAATTATCTGAATTCACGGCACAAGGCTGCATGGTGTTCCTATGGGATCGTTTTCTCCCTGGACCCTTGTAAACAAGGTGTGTCTGAGCTCCCTTATCTGCACGATCTGAGTCCTGTGCCTGGTTCCATCTCTGTGATTCCCGGGGCAAGTGCTGGAGCTCTGCTTTATTTTCTTTGCACAGCACCTGACGCTCCTCAGAGAGGCCCTTTATAACGCTGCCCAAGCAGGGCCATGTGCTGAAGCTAAGTGGCTTGGCAAAATCCTGCAAATGAGGCTGCGCATGTGCCTGTGTGTGCGCCTGGATCTCTCCCACAGTCTGAACCTAGTTGATGTTTTTTGACTATAATTGAACACAGTGAAGGGCATAAAACCTGGCCACTTTCTGTAGCCTGGTTAAAGGATTTATTTTTCAGAGGAAATCCCTAAAGGTGACTCAGGCTTACTCAACTGGCTCGAATGGCATCCAGCTTGGATTGAGTGTTAATTTCAGAAGAATTTTCCTGGTCATGAAAGTGGTACTGGGGCTTCTAACTTTGCAGAGGCCAATTGCGGTGTAGGCAGCTGGGGTTCCAGTTCTGCACACAACCCTGAACAGCTCTCTGACCTGGCAGCCCTGTGCTCCTGGTCTGTCCCCCAGAGATGGGTGAAAGGTCGCTCTGACTTCTTGTCTCCTGTTTCTCCTAGTCTCTCGAGCAGACTATTAACTGAACAGCACCGTCATGTGGATTACTGTCCTTCAGCGCGAGGCTAATGCCACCAGACTCATTTTGCTTAACAACCTCAGAATTGACTCACAATTGGACTCTGGAATGAAAGGCTAATTGAGTCAGTCTGCTGCAGAGAGCATAGCCCTGATTGGGAGGATAAAACTAGATATACTGCTCTGAGCAGAACCCCGGACAGGCTGTTTTTTGAGAGAAGATCATTAGCATACATCCAGGCCCTAGGACGAACCCAGCCGGTGGATAGAAAAGAGCGTTTCAAAATAATTGTGAGTGCATGTAGTACTGCTAAGACACTAACATTTCCACGATTCTATCACATTTGACCCACCTCCCCCTGACATTTATACTTGGAGTCAGGATGGTCACATTTCAGGATTCAGACTTTACAGATAGAAAAACACACGGAAGAAGAAGTTAATATAGCGATGTGCTGGAGCCAGCTCATTACTGGCTGACTGGTAGATTTTCAGGAATTTTGCAAGTTAGTTAACATCACAGTGGAGCTCGAAAGCAGCCTTGGTGGGAGTGTTTACACTACAGTAATCAGCGAACACTACAAATCAGGGCCATGTGTTGTTCTTAGAGAGCCAGTTGTTAAATATTTACAGCAAAACTCTGTTTAAAAACAGGTATGATGTGCCGAATCCCACCGATACAGCACGTGTTGTGTTTTGGGAGTCAAGTCCCAGCCGTTCTCCAGGATAAGCTTCCTCTTCCCTCCCCAGTCACCATTGGGCCAAATGAAATGGTGCAGTACCAATTAACCTCCAGTCTTCAATACCTTCCAAAAAATGAAAACAGTTATCCCCCAAAGATTTTTCCTTCTCAACATCTTCTCTTACCAACACGGTCCTCTGAAATCTCTTAAAGCAGGGTGTGCAAATGGCTACATGTGTGGATGAAAGCAGCTGAATTCTTGTGCATTCCATCGACTGACTGATGTGTCAAGTGCCTGTGATAGAATGACGAATAAGTTCCCTGTCCCTCAACTCAAATAACTCACAGTCTAGCAGCAGAGAGAAACAAGTAGAAAGATTATAATAACACAGTGGCTAGTTCTTGATAAAAGGAAAGAAAGGCTGCTAATAAAAATAACACCTAACACGAACAGAGGACTTAAGTCTATGGTCGCTATGTCTTTACACACTTTATATTTCTTCCTGACAACTGGAACAAGGTAGAGACTATTATTTTATCATCCTCCTGTCACAGAGGAGGAAACCACGGCTTAGCAAGTTTAGACCGGAGTCAAACAGTGAGCTGGAGAAGCAGGATTTCAAAGCACACATTCTGATCCCACAACGTAAGCTTTTAGCAAACACTACCCAGCTACAGAAGCTGGTTTCAGAGAGGCCATGATATTGGACTGAGACCTGGAGGACGGGGAGGATCTGTCAGGTAAAGGGAGGAGGGTATTCCAGGCAGAAGGAAGCAGTGTAATTCCAGGGTAACGACAATGGAGTGTTTGTTTGTGCCAGGCGCTGATCTAGGTGCTCGACATGTATTCACGCATTTAATTCTCACAACAACCTTAGTAGGTGATGCCATCAGTCCCATTTTACAGAGGGAAAAACTGAGGCAAAGAGAGCCTAAGTAATTCCCTCCAGGTTGTAGAGCTTGTGGTGGAGCTAGAATGTGGTCACACTCAATCTGACTCCAGGAACAGAGATTATTCACAACCACTACACTTAACACATGCGTCATCCAGAAACTGATTAGTGGTTCAGTTGGGATGGCTGGACCACAGCATGAGAGGTGGTGCTAGCAAGGTCACAAAGAGCCCTGAATGACCCAGGGGTTTGGATTTTGTCTTAAAAGCAGCGGGATCCACTGAAGGATTTTAAACAGAGAAGTAACACGATCAGATCTGTGTAGTGGGAAGACTCTTGGGTCTCTCAGTTGTTAGCCAAGATTTTCTTGAGATCTACTCTGTGCCCTCACTGTCCTAGCAGCAGAGGGGACAGGAAACAGGAAAAGGTGGGAGGAGGGACGGTTACTTACGAGACTGCAGCTAGCAGTGAAGCAGAGGAAAATACTGAGGGCCGGAAGGAGAGGAAGAAAAGAGGATACACTGAGGCGGGTATCGCTAGGAGGGAAGTCAAGACTGCAGAGAGGAGGCGGAAGCGAGGCATGGACAACTCAGCAGACACTGGTGCCGTGGTTGGGGGGAACCCAGGGGAGGACAGGTCTGCAAGGAAGACAGGGAGGTGGATTGTGGCTGTGCTGAGTTCATGGCACTGAGGGGAGCCAAGCGTCTAGCAGGTTGTTAGAACCCCAGATCTTCATCTGTCCAACCATGGCCTGAGCACCTGCTATCCATCCCAGCATCCCAGGACAGCCCCTCAGATGCTTCCCCCTGCCCCCCGGGTTAAGAATCACACTGTAACCTGTTTCGGGGGCTTCCCTGCCTGGGCTGCAGTGACCCAGACAAGAAAGCTTAAACATCCAAAGTAGGATTAACAAAGAAATTCCACAACTGGATTTCTTCTGGAGACATGAAATCTCCATGACTACAGCAGTGATGAACCTGATTGTTTTTCTCTGAGAAAACGAAATGAAATGAATAGATGCTAAAGCAGAAACGTATCTTCCTCCAAAAGAGAAAATTTCCCACCCTTAAGAGAAAGGAAACCAAAGCAAATGCCAAGTGGGCCTTAGGAAATCTGCAGAGGAGAAAACAGTGGTTTATGCAGAAAATATCGTATTAAAGGAGGCATGCTAACTGGAAATAGAAAAATGATAATGATAAAATCTAGGACAGTCTTCTCAAACAGCAGATGGTTTTTTGACAGTGGGGGAAAAATCATTTACCTATGTTTTCTGTAACACTTTTAGGAAAACAGTGTTCCGGTCAACAGGTTAAAAACATACTAGAAATGCCCAATTTCACTCATTCTGAATAAGCCTGATTCTTTAAAGGCTTTTCCAGGATAAATCCCATACTTGGACACAAGCTGTGTGGTTGGTGGAATTGAGCCCTGGACTACGAATTGTGAGATCTTGAATGGGATCCAGGCTCTGACACTAATTAACCAGAGTTCCTGAATATGTTGC